ACAATGCTCGTTGTCAAAAGTGTAATAAGAGTTTAGTATGTAAGGGCGGTAACACGAGCAATTTGTCTAAACATTTGAGAGGGGTCTGCCTGCAGGCCTCCACTCTCAGGACAGTTCCGGTGTAGGCAGGCTCCCATGAAACATTTAGCAAAAGTGCACCACATTCAGATGGAGGAATGCACCGGGTTCGACTGTCTTTCTAGTAGCTCTGTAGCCCCATCCACGAGTAACGTTTCCACGTCAGGTGTTATGTATGCTAGCAGCAACACACGGAGTTAACTCAATTATACAAACATGGGTTAATGATTAGAGGTAACAGAGTTACTCTTTATTTTGTTAAAGTTTCAGCTATTCTGTTTACAGTTCTGTCATCAGATTATTTAATACGATTTGTTAAAACGTTGTTGTTTCTTTTGATGTGAAATATTATTTATTTAATTTAAATAAAAAGCAATGTTAATTTTGTTCACAATTTGTTAAGTTAATTTAATAATATATGTATTTTTGAATCAAGTATTCATCTTTATTGTCTTCATTGTTAATTTCCACATGCCTAAAACAACCTCAAGCTAAATCTAAAAGTTGATGGCTAAATAAGAGCGTTTGAGAAATTGTGCAAGGCATACAGTAATAGTCCGAATAGTCGATTAATCGTTTTATTAATCGATTATCAAATTATTCGTTTGTTGCAGCCCAATTGTAGTTATCCCATGTATAAATAAAACGTGTTATTCAGCAACCCTTGCAATTTGGGATTTTATTTTTGGTTGGTAGACCTCGGTGAGCTGGTCATTTCAAAAGTAGCTCACCAGCCAAAAAAGTGTGGGCACCCCTGCTCTAGATATTACGGTACAATACAACTATTTTTCAATCCGTTTCTTTAAGAGCTCTGTGTGACACCAGATAAACACATAAGGAGCAGTAGAGTACTGAATGTTGTGCTTTCAGTACTGACACACATCATTTGGGAGCACTGTGTGAGAAAGAGAGAACACTTGAATGAAAGCCAGTGAGAAATGCTTTGACGACTGTGCTACCTGGAGGCATCTGCATGGGGTTGAAGCCAGGTCGGATGAAGTGAGGCGGGGGGACGCCTGGAGGGAAGGAATGGGGAGGCATGCCTAAGGGCCCAGAAAAACCTGGAGGCTGGAGGGGACCCACACCAACCACAGGCTGCTGCATTGGAGGAACCTGAGAACAATTACAAGGACAAGCACATGTCAACTGAGGAAGTTAAACATCCCTGTGTCGCTCTGGAGAAACACAGGAGCTAGGTAACCTCAAACAACTGCAAAATAATCATCTGTATAAGCTAGGGCTGCTCAATTCATCGTATTTTAATCGCAATTACGATTATGGCTTGCAACGATTACGAAAACAACGCAATCGAAATAAAACAATAATTTTTTTATTATTATTATTATTACTTTTATTTTTAAATAATTATATATTTATTGGTTTTTCAGTTGAAGTATACTTAAAGTTCAGGGTAATCAACTGTTAAAAACATACTGTTCACATTTTTTTTCTCCAATAAATTGATGTTTTCAAAGTAAATGGATAATCGTTTTTAATAATCGTGATATCAATTATTGACCCAAATAATCGAGATTATGATTTTTGCCATAATCGAGCAGCCCTAGTATAAAGTGTCTGTCCATGGCTTTAAGTCCAACACTTCCTCCACTAAGTTGAAAAGCTGCTCCAAAGATCAGTCAATCTTTGAGAACGATGAATCTGACTCCACCTGGTCCAAACAGTGAATAGAACTGTTTTGCCATCACATTGCAGATACCACGATTTAGTAGACAACACGAAAGAGCCCTCTGAGATTCAGTTTTTACCGGTACACTAAAAATAAGGTTTGCTAGAAAATGTGTGGATTTGGAACAGGTGTTTACCTCCCTGGTGTGTTTTTTGTCCTGCTTTTGGTTTCGTCTCTCTGCTTATCTTTCAAAGTCCAGGACACACCCAGCATCTCCTCTCTCGCTGTCCTTAATCTCTGCCTAGGATCCCCCGAGCTGTTTAGAGGGAATGTTTTTGGACAGTGGTGGTGTGTGTGTGGTTGTTGTGTGTGTGTGTGTTGTGTGGTGTGTGTGTGTGTGTTGTGTGTGTGTGTGTGGTGTGTGTGTGTTGTGGTATGATGAAGGCAGATGGGGGTTATCCATCACGCAGCCAGCAAGTGAAACTCCCAACCCTCCCTCTCCGCTATCTATGTTATATTTATATCCAAATGAAGCTCTGATTAATGGCAAGATAAAAAGGAAACTCCTAAGCTACTCGATCCTAAGCTCTAAATATACGTTTTGTCTTGCGTGACCTTCCTTCTCCTGCGCCCCACACTCACAGGGGATGGTCAATCAGGGCTGCAGAATTTAATTGAATGTTATTGAAATATGGATTGTGCAATATCTAAATGGCCCCCTTAAGCACAATATCTGGTAAAAGGCAAAATATCTGAATGAAGTATTGTGGAGCTGCAGATTACAAAGTGGTGTGTTGTTGTGTGTGTGTGTGTGTGTGTGTGTGTGTGTGTGTGTTGTGTGTGTGTGGTTGTGTGTTGTAGTGTGTGTTGTGTGTGTGGTGTGGTGTGGTTGTTGGTGTGGTGTGTGCGTGTTGTGGTGTGTGCCCAATGTAAATGGTCTGCAAAGGCTCAAATGCATAAGTTCCCCTCAGAGGAGTTCTCTTCCCGTGAGTTATTTTTTCCACGAGGCCATATATTTTAATATTTAGTGCTTATACCTACTGTAAACATGTATCTGCTGTGCTACTTCTTGTAAGTCATTCCACATAACACTTTCCTTGGATGTACACATGTAAATTAATTAGTCCATAATGTGAAATACATATGGGAAGATCATTAAAAACTAATTACAGCCTCATTTGGAGTTCACATTCTGCTTATGGGTTAGAAGCAATCACTACCAAACCATCTCCTCTCTCAACAACACACACACACACACACACACACACACACACACACACACACCACACACAACACAACACCACACACACACACAACACACCACACACACACACACAACACCACACACACCACACACACAACGTACATCCGACAAGCGTTTTTGCAAATTGGGGATCAAAATCCCCTTTTGACCCACAAACCATTCAGACAGTCCATTTCCCGGCCTTCAAGACTAAGCAATGTACACTTTCTTCCACACAAACCACACACGATGGAACTAGAAACACACACACACACACACACACACAACCACACACACAACACACAACCACAACACAATCCACAACACACAAACACACACACACAAACCACCACACACACACACACACACACCAACACCACACACACACACAACAATGCATGCTTGCAGGCCCACCCCAAAGTTCATTAATTTTCCTGAAGTGCTTTTCCCAATTCCTTTGAGGGAGTGGTGTGTGTGTGGTGTGTTGTGTGTGTGGTGTGTTGTGTTGTGTGTGGTGTGTGTTGTGGGTTGGTGTGGTGGTGTGGTGTGTGTGGTGTGGTGTGTGATGGTTGACGTGACATTAAGGACCCTCTGTCCATGCTAGTTTTGGTGCAGGGAACACGCAATGATGAGAAAAATAAATAAAAACAACAGAAGACGAAACTTTTTGGAGAAGAAACTCATAAAAAACATTTGCTCTGGATCAGGACAAAGTGTGTAAATGCCCAAGTGGAGAGTAGATGGGAAATGAGCTCCATAGCATAAATCATCCCGCTAAATATTTGAAAGAATTGGATGCATGGCATGTTTTAAATTAAGAAACATCAAAAAGTAAAAAAATGGGAATGTCCACCATGGCTACATTTGCATTCAGATTAATAAATTCAACCCGACCCCCCTGCAGTTCTTTAATGACTGTGTGGGGGAAAGACGAAGTCGTGCGAGGTTTTGATGTAAAACATGCTCCACTAATGGACTGATTGAAGGTGGCCAAACACTGCGGAGTCGCCATGGGGGACGGACTCCAGCGGTTCCATGGATGCTACGCAAATGGTTAACAGGGTAGTTGAAACCATCCAGGCGGGAAAGAGACAACTGGGAGTAACCAGGCAGCCCCAAGTTAAGAGGAAACATTTGACTTGGTGTTGGGTTCCCCTTTGGTGACGGCAGAAATAAATAAAAGTGATTTTATTCTTCATTCTCCTGGTGCTCTGGCCGGTGAAAGCTTACACTCCTTGATCCCCCAGTCTAATCAAAAACTGTCAGCTGGGTAATTGGGTAAGCAATAAAAGGTCACAATGACATTTTTTAATTATTAAATGTTAAACTTATGGGAGATTGGGGGGAATGAAGAGAAAGGAACAAAAGGAAACTGTCCAGTGTGGAAGAAAGATGCTATAAAAAGTGAGATTCTTTAGCCTCCGAGTAGTTGGTTTGGCCACTCAGCAGCAGTTCGTGAGTATAATTGATTACGGCGACCCCCTATTTTCTAACCGTGCAGCCTCTCCCATTGATCCAGTTTACTGCCTGCCGATGGCTCTGCAAGTCATTAACGGCCAAAAGAGCTTCAAAAACAACTTTAATGCAAGTCCCAACCTCGTTCATTCGTGAGAAAGAGTTAAGCAGGTTTGAAGAATGGAAGATGTTCTAGATTTGGGAAAGGCATTTAAGGGGCCCCTATTCCTGCTGTATATTCAGAATGATATGGTTGTATTTCCCCGGCTAATAGATGGACATCTTGGTCATCCTTAATGTCAAAAAGCTCTTTATTTTTGGCTCTCTTTCACCCTCTGTCTGAAACCAGAAGCCCAGACTTGCTCCCCTGATTGGGTTAAAGCTGGCCGCCATTTCAAGCAGAAAACATATATAACACCAAAACAAACTAATTCTGGGAACCTGACAATTAACTGATAGTCATCCCCCTATTACACCTAAAAACTATATATTATATATGGTTTCCCGTTTAACTCCTACACATTTTTTTAAATAAAAAGGACGAGGGACAACACTTTCCTTTTGAGAGACTTTATATGGAACTAGCCCCAACAAAGAGGGAATGAAAAAGTGGAATGTAGCGTGAAACTGAAGGATATTAATATTGAATTTTCCGAAGTGGCTTTTGTCTTGCAACATCCCCATTGTATTTCCTCCCCTTTCCCTTTCACTATACAAACATATAATACAGCCTGCCCACACTCCACCGGCCCCAGCAGACCCCAATAGTTCTGCTACTTTACCTTGAAATCATGTCCCAATGCTAAGGTTACCAGGCCCCGTGTGTGGTGTGGTGTGGTGTGTTGGTGTGTGTGTGGTGTGTGTGTGGGTGTGTGGTTGGGTGGTGGTGTGTGTGTGTGTCCTCCCAAGCAGAGGTTCTTAACTCTTACCTCCTGACTTTGTCTTCCTTCCCCTAATTAAAGACTGGCAATCCACGTTACATNACACGCAGCTGCTACATGCAGCAACACACACACTCACGGAGGAGATGGCCGAGAGTACGCGCTCCAAGGTGTGTCCACATCGAGACGGGTAAAGTTTAACCACACCTTGGAGCGCGTACTCTCGGCCATCTCCTCCGTGAGTGTGTGTGTTGCTGCATGTAGCAGCTGCGTGTGTGTAAACTGCCCCGCCCCCTCGCAAGCAGGCGGGGGAGAGAGATTGAAAATACTAAAGATAATCATTGAAGCATTTTGCAGTCTTTTTGCGTATTAGAAACGGAGTTGGTGACACTAAAACGGCAATATAACGTTTGTGTAGCAATAATACAAATGACATATTTTTTACATGTCTCCAGTACCGATAAAAAGACCGCCAACATTGGAGTTTAACGGCACCACGGTCTTTAATAATTCAGCCCCGGGGCCCGTTTAATACGGGGGATCGGTACCCATCCTACAATTGACCGTAGCTTTGATTCATGACTGGCAGGATTTGCCTTCACTGATACATTCATATTCACAGAGCAGTTTGCATGTATGGATTGGATCTGAACTCACTCGTTGCGGTTCTCCTTGGACCCGGGGAAGGACTGGGGGTTGACATGAGCCAGGGTGATGTACTCGTTCCTCTCCAGGTTTCCCACCAGAACGCGGATCTTTGACTCTACCAGACCGATCCTGAGGGGAATAACATCAGGGTGTATTTACAGAGTTAGCGATAACAAAACCAGTTATCCTCACAGCGTTGCGGTACAGTCTCACTCTGACACTTACCATTCCAAGTGGTTTTCTTCTGTGGAGGCACTGGCAGTCAGAACGATGTAATGCCTGCAGAACACGACAGAAAATCAGACAAGATGCAGAGTAACTGAACACAACACCCTCTAAGACATAACAATGAGTATATATGGACTTGCAGCGCCATGGGAATGTTTGCTATATCCTATGCTAATGTAGTGGAGTAAAATGTTAAAGTAGAAAGTACAACAGCCTTTGAGTAAATGTACTTAGGGGATTTCCACAACTGTCCATACAAAACTAATGAAAACTTCACTAAATACAATGCATTTTTGCGTCTTGTATAATTCTACATGAACATTCAAATAATGAAATAGTGTTATCAGCAGTATTTCTTCTTTAAAACTTTTCAATTCGATGTGCCACACCAGTACTCAGGTAATGTAGCTGCAATGGTGAAGCAGCAGCACCAACAGAACATGGCAGTTGTGGTTCTTGTGTGGGAAGAAACTCTCATAAACAAACTTTACTGACCACAGTTCGGATGAGTCAAATGTGCCCAAACCCAAAAAGTGAAAACAATAAGTTGCATCATCCAATTTTTGTTCGAACTGCATAGTATGGTAGGGCGCTGCAATTAATTGAAACGTTATCAAAATTGCAGAGCTCTGGAAAATGTTTTGCTACGACTGCAGCATTATCAGTTTCTCTGGTTTTACCATTTATAGGTATGCGTTTGAGTAAAGAAATGTATTCTATTAATTACTGACAACATTTCTCCGTGTTGGAATTTGACAGACACTGGAATGGAATAGCTGTGTGGTTTCTTTATTTTTTCCAGAGCTGTAAACTAAGGAAATATCTAAATTGAAGTAAGTCAAATATTTGTTAAAGGCTAAATATGCTTTCAATTACTTTTATTGAATCAAGTTTTGTGCTCGTTCTACTACAAATCGTGTTTTACAGACTTATCAAAACATATTTTTTGGTACAGATTCTCTTTAAGAGCATACTATAATCAGGATAATGTATACATTTCTAAAGACGGGGATAATTATGTTTAAAAATGATCAATCCCTTCTGTATTTGCAACAATAGTCAAAACAATAGCATTTACGTTAAATCTATGGCCTGCCAAATAATGTCCACATAACTTAATGCTTGCTTTTTTCAATACGTGAACAAATACAGACATGTTAAAGACTTTTTACCCATGCCATATAGCTCTGTTTGCTTGGCTTGCTGTTGTAGATACAATATTCCATCAACAAATCCTTTATGTGAAAAGAATCAACACCTACTTGTACTTTTGGAAGAAGTTGGGAGGCTCAAAGAGTTTGGACCATTCCGTTTTTCCCTGAAGAATCTCATCTGTGACGCTGAGGCCTGTTAATGTCAGACACGTGGGAGAAAGATATATCAGACATTCAAAGTGACACTATTACTCAAAGGAACCTGATTGTACGGTGACAATTAGGCAAGATATTTGATTTTCAGAACTGATAGAGTAGGTAGATATTTTATGTGTTGTCTGTATTACCGTATTTGAATTCCTCGCTCATGATGGTGCGCGTTGACGAGGAGACGTTGTAGGTGGAGTTCTGCTGGGGGTAGGCGGGGGTGATGATGGGCATCAGGTGGTATCTGTCAGACGGGTTCACCTAAAAACACAGGGATTGATTTGGCTGCAGACATGAGACTTCTCAAACACCACCCACCACTTTCAATGTGTAGGGAAACTCTACACCCACACACTGTAAAGCACCAGACACATCCCACACACAGGGAACATCCCAATCCACCTTTATGCTCTTCATGTTTCCCTTATTTGCATTTTTCCAAACAAAACAAGGAGAATTGAAGGAAACTTGACGTGCTTCCCTTTAAAACATTATCTAAAGGATCAGTCAAATTGGATTTTGGATCTGTAGCTTGTAACGGAGCTTTAGCCTCTTACCTTGAAGTACCTTTCTTAACAGATATGTAAGCCAAATTACCCAATTTAGCCATTTGATTATGAAGTTATCCAATTGGACCAAAACAATTTGAACTGCATGATCACATTGAGCTTTAACATCATGTGAAAACATCTATATCAAACCTGTTTTAAACTGTGTACTGGCCAATTACAAGCAGTATTTGTATTTATCTTAATAATAAATCCAGGCTCGGTTTTATAAAAAAAAAAGGGACAATGTGAGAATGCTAGACTTTATTTTGAAGGGCTTTTTGACAGTAACTTTACATGCGTTTTAAAATCATGTTTGCCAGCAGCAAAAGCCTTTACCATGCAATGATGTACTTCCTCACTTTAAGATCATGTTGAGCATGATTAAGAAAGTATGTATAGAAGCCTAAACATGAAGGAAACTATTACATTTGATATGAACTACTTTCTGCCCAATGCACGATAATGGTTGGCAGTACTGTGACTGAACGGAAACAACAACAATAGATAATTCAAACGTGTTTATTGCTTAATAGACACAGCAAACTTGACACAGCATTTACAGCATTTAAATGTTTTATATTAAGGATATAGATTAATTAGTTTAGGATAAATGTATGATATTGTAAAAAAAAAAACAGTAAAAGCAAAACTAATGTATCAATGCACTAGTGTAGGAGAAAATATTTAAAAGAATATCCTGCATAAGATAGTGTATTCATATGTGCACACAGGCTATGGACTGCAGTGTTTATTACGGGATTTGAACACAATTTCAGATATTTTTTGCTTCTCAATTACTAAAGCACTTATGAAGAAGTTTGTCTGATAAAAGACGTCCATGTAGGAAATCTTTCTTGCTCCAAGCTGCTCTTGGAAGCCTCCTCCGAGGACAACATTGGAACTCATGGTAGAGGAAACATTTCCATGATGACAGAGGAATAAGGATACTTGAAATAGGATAAAAAAGGTTTTTACCTATGCTTTGTCTGTTGATGTAACACTAAAACAACAATTTAGCAGAATAAGTCCAGGTTGTGTGTCCTACGACTACACAGGCGTACACATACAAAAAAAAAGGCATAACATCATAATCATCAATACATGGAGATAATACACTGGTGTCATACTCACTCTAGGATCCCACACAGGTAAATTCAGGTTACTGTCCTCAGGCTGTTTCAAAAGCACAGGATTTGGCCACTCCCTAGGATGCAAATGAAAATAGTAAAGTGTGTAAATATTCAAAACACACTGATGACTGGAAAGGGCTATGAAACACTGCCATCAAGTGGAAAGCTAACACACTCACCACTTGGAAAACACCAAGAAGAACTTGTGGACCAGCGTGGCGGCCACAGCGTTGGGGTAGAGCTGGCAGGTCCTGGCCACCAGCATGGCCCACGACACTCCACCCAGAAACCCCAGCATGTTGGAGTAGATCCCACGACCTGCAGGCGAAGGTGGAGACCATTTATATTTTTTGGTGTTACCCCAAAAGATGAGCGGTGGTTTGTCAAGTATACACTCAAATGGAACCAGAACATTTGAATGCACTCACGTTTTGCCCAGAGTTTAATGGCTCTCAATGTCAGTCTGAAGTTCTCTTTGTTTGGCACCAGGTACAGTATTTCATCGGTCACACGACAACCTGCAGAAAAAGCATTAGAAAACTAAATAGATATAAGCATTACACTCCTGCATACATTGTGTTTATGCCAAGTATGGAAAGTGTTAAAAGGGTCCAAACCACCTGCTGCAAGTGTAATGCACTATAAGCTTAATCTACTTTTGCAACAGCATCAGTCCTCAATTCATTATCATCTCTTCTCTTTTGAATGTAATAGAGTCCATGTAGCGTACCATTAAGGCTGCGGATGCACCGTATGTCCAAGTTTCTCAGGATGGAGTCCCCCCTCAGGTCCAGGTTGTCTGGAATGGACTGTAAGGCCAGTCTGGCAAAAAGCAGATCAATCTGCACAGAGAGGACAATATTAAAGTATTAAGGACTTGAAATTGCCCAACTCGTATATAGACACACTAGGTAGTACAAATATGTAACAGCGAACTACAAGGCACAACATTTATTTGGATCATATATAAAAAAAAGATTGGTTGAACTTTCTTTCTTGGGGGACAGGAAAGAAAGTTCAAAGATGTGGTTCAAGATGAGCTTTTAAATGATTAAGAAATATTGTTTTCATTATGAAGAAAGGGAGAATAAAAGTACAATTGGCAGATCGAAGACTAACAGAGTTTCCAAATGCAGACAGACAAGTGCAATGGCAGTTTCATAAGGGGTTGTTTGGAAAGGGCAGACGCCTTACCCTTTAATTTAGCTTATTTCTATAGAATTGATGTTCCAAACTATTTCACCATCAACACCGTGCTTCCTTGGGTATTCATCTGCAGTGTGCGAAAAAGTACACGTCCCACCGTCCGGGACGTGTTATTTACAATATCGGACAAGTAGATCTTTCAATTGACTTGTCCGGTGGACAAGTGACGTTTTTCGCCCTGATTTATTGATAAATTATTGATAAATTCAGTTTACAAAAGGCAGAACTCATTCACAAATTGTACGTGTCCGCCATTGTTCGTTTATAAATGTTAGTTTCGGTTCTGCTTATCGATTCCTAAGGAAATGCATCTCGCCGCTTTCTGTACAGTTGGGCGGGGCGGGGCGGGAAGTGTAGCACAGTGGCAGGGTTGGGAAGCAAAACTCGGTTCCAAGTAGGAACAAATAACAATTGTCCGGTCCCGGGATTGATAAGAGTTGTGAGGACAGGAGGCGAGGCCGAGCCCCGCGGACCGCAGCTCTCTCTCTCTCTCTATGCTCCGGATCAACTGATCGCTGCACGTTGCAGCTCAGCGTCTCTCTCTCTCTCTACTCTTTCTACACACAGCGGATCCGCTGCCCGTTTAACAGCCATCTTTGTCAAACTTTCTTATGTTCTTTCTCTAACACGTAATGAAGATTATTAAGCGTTTTAGCTCCTGTGTTGTTAATATTGACCGACATTTCCTTTATGAAGTGAAGCAGCCTCCCTGTCTGTGTCCTCGCGCTGTCCTCACATCCCCGGACACCCAGACTCGGAGGAGCACAGGGATGTCAGTATTGTTTATGAAGCAGGGTATAGAAAGTACATTATTGAAATGAAAATACTATTTACTTTTACAAACAGTGAGCAGCTGGGCAGCTGCAGCATGTGTATTGCAGGACATGTGTAAGCGTGCAAGCGTCTTTGAGTTGTAGAAAAGCGCTAGGCCTATAGGCTATAAATATTATTATTATTATTATTATTAGGCCTATGTGTTGGACATGTGTGGTTGGACTCTGTCTCACAGGAAGGTTGCAGCATGTGTGTTGCAGGACATGTGTTGGACACACAGACTGTGGTTGGACTCTGTCTCACAGGCAGGTTGCAGTGTAACATCAGAGGAGACTGGGCCAATTGTCCATTCTCAAACTGCACCGCTAACTAACTAAACAATGCAGAGATTATTTGTATATAATTGTATTTAATAACCGTAAGAAATTAAACAGTATGAAGTGATTTGTAAATAGGAATACAGATTTGACTTAATGTTTTCATAAATATATTTTTCTCCCAGTTTGTCATGGGACTTATTTTTACCGTCTCAAAGAACCGGAATCGAGAACCGAAAATAACTGGTATCGAAAAGCAGAACCGGAATCGTTAAAATCCAAACACCTTTTGAGAACTCTCGCCGCGGCCGGGAGACGGAGCCTCTACACAAAAACCGAGTAGCTACCACTGCTCGGTGCGGCTCGGGACGGCGGCGACGGGCACTCGTTGGTTTCCACACGAACGGCTTTAACCTGACGCGCCCCCGGAGGTGTGCGACGCAGAGTGACGCTGAGAGAGTACTCCGCGCATGGCGAGTCCCTACCTACCTTCCACACCACGTCGACACGGGTAGTACTCCGCAATTGCCGCGGAGTACCCAAATAAATCCACACATGCTCCCAATAGAGCGCTGTCGTCCTTACGGCCGCTTCGAAGAACATCAAATAATTGGTCGTCCGGATTGGTCCGAAGACGTCGGCTCGGGGCGACTAATGGGGTAATTGTCTAAATCACGTCGCCGAATAACGCCGGACGAAGGAGCCTCCGGGGAGAGCGCCCCTTCGTCTGGACTCTCGCCCCCCCTCGGAGTGAGGGGAAACTGAGCGGCGCGCCTGGGACAGGACCGCCCCCTCCGCCTCCTGCACGCCTGCCTCGGGGCGTCGGCCCGCTTCGGCTGCAGACGTGCGCCTCCGCCCAAAAGCGAACCGGGCAGAGAGCAAACCGGAGGACACCGGGCGCACCTGCCCGGCGCCCGACGGACGCCGGCAACCCCAGCGACAACGCGCGAGTCGTCCGACCCGGTCGACTGTACGACCCGCTTACGGGAGGCGGACAAGGCGGCCGGCAGAAGTACCTGAGGCTGGTACGCACCTTGACGCCCCAGGATCTGTGCGGGTATGCCCGACTAACTTCGCGAGGTCATCGGAAAAGGACGGCGAGAGCATTGTCTGCCGGACGACGTCCACCGCGACGCAGACACCGAGTGGGTGCGCCTTTAGAGCGGACCCTCTGTCGCTGCGTGCGCCGGCGGTGTCTCACTCGCGGCACGACCGGCGGAACGAACGTAAAGGAGACGGAGCCACCACCTGGCGATGATGGTCACGAGTGTGGCTCAAACCTCCTCGTCCGGCCCCTACTATAAGCGGCGACGACGGACTTTCCGTGTGACCGACGTGGTGCGAGCCGGACCGCCGCTTAGAGAGACCACCCCCGAGTTGCAGCCCGGGTCACAACCTCCTTTGTCAAAAATCTGATCGATGAACCAGGTACTTGTTCACCTCAAACCGTTCAAATGAACAGGCTATGTAAAAAGTGAACAGGTCTTACCTGGTTTAACGCGCCGGTGACCGTAGAAAGAGAAGAAACGGTAGCATAAAATGAAAAGGGTGCCAAAAATGCTGTGGACGGATGCCATGCACTCGCCATCCCAACAGCAGTAGCG